GAGCCGCGCCACGAGCGCAGGGCGACGGCGGGGGTGGCGCAGAGGACGTCCGCCTCGCCGTCGGCGTCCGCCTAGGCACGCAGCCCGCACGCCTCGGGACGCGGGCGCGGCAGCCACGGCGCGGCGCGGAGACCCCTCTGTCCTCGGTCAGCGCCGACGAGCGCAGCTGCAGCGACGGAGGCAGGCCGGCGAGCAGCGCTCGCACCGTCGCGTGGACCTGCACGACGAGCTCGCGGTTGGGCGCGAGCAGCAGCGCCTGCGACGGCACGCGCGGCAGCACCAGCCGCCCCTCCTCGCCGCGCGCCCTCCTCGCCTCTGCGACCAGCTCCTCCCTCTCCTCGAGCATCGCCTGCAGCACCGGCAGCGCGTAGGCGATCGTCTTGCCCGACCCGGTCTCGTCGAGCAGCACCACGTCGCCGCCGCCGCGCACGAACGGCCACGCCTGCCGCTGGATCTCGGTCGGCGCCTCGAACCCCAACCCCTGCAGGCCCGCCAGCAGCGGCTCGGACACACCGAGCTCCGCAAAGGAGCCGCCGTCGGCCGACGAGCACACCGCGCGGTGCAGCGAGGAGCGGTGCAGCGAGGGGCGGCCGCCCACCCGCGGCGCGTAGCGGAGGAGGGGTAGGACGGCGGCGAGCATGTTCCTGTTGGTCGCTCGAGCGTGGCGGGCTTGGGCGAGCGACAGGCGAAGACGGCGCGGGGATTTTTTTTCTAGGGATCCTTCTAGGTAAGGTAGTTGTACCACTGGCTCTCGTGGCCCGTGGCGCGTGCCCGGGTGGAACAGGGCGGGCTGCGGCGGGCGCATAACTATTCACAGCTAATGAAAACTATAAAAACTCGCGGCTTCATCAAAGTTTGAGGTGGCTTCGTCCTCAGCACCATCAAGACAGCTCTATTCACACCCTTTTTGGTTTGAAGCCACTCGGGGATGCTTGTTTACACCCAACCGACGAGTGGCTGGGCCCTCTGACCTGAGCTGGAGCCGAGGCGCGCCACGCCAAGGCGCAAGGGGGACAAGCGACGAGAGGGGGAGTTGAGTAGTGTCTTTCGCCCCAGGATAAAAAGCAACTTTTTTCAATACGCGCCGCGGCGCGCCGTACACCCTGTGACACCGCAGTCTGCGCGGTGCGCGCGTGGTAATGTGGAGCTTGACTCCTGCAGAGGGCTCGGCAGACAGCCGCGGCGGGCACGCCGCCTGACACTCAGTGACTCAGACACGCTGCCGACAGCTAGCAGAGCCTCCTCGAGCACGAGGGCCCGTTGCAAATCGACGTCCTGGAGGTGAACACGTCGACACTGGAAGGCTCATCGTCCTTGTAGAACCCATTGGTGTCGCCCTTGCGGATCCACCTCTCGTTGCTGATCGGACAAGGCAGGCCGAGAAAGCAGCAGACTCCGTTTTCTATCTTCACGTCGTCGCCCTCCGCCGTGAGCGTAGTGATGCCACACCCACCAGGTAGACAGCAGCAGATCCACGTGCCGGTGAGCTCTTGCGCCGACCACAGCGGCTGGCTCCCACCAGCAGGGATGCAGCCGATGGGCACAGTGCGATGCATGGACTGCTGCACCGGTGCCATCTGCGGTGCTGCCGACGTTGCCATCATCATCGGCGCACCGCCAACAGGGACCACAGTCGCCATGACCACTGGCGCTGCCGGCACATTAACGATCATCTGCTGCCCCTCGCCGACGGGCGCGACCACCTCCATAGGACCTTCCGGCGTGTTGACCTGAAACGACATGCCCGCGTAGACCCCAGGCGGCACGGTCACCTGCATTTGCTGCATTGCCGCCGCCGCCGCCGCCGCCGCCGCCGCCGCCGCCGCCGCCGCCGCCGCCGCCGCCGCCCCGCCGCCGCCCTGCACTCGCTCCAAAAGAGGCGGGCACTTGCGGTGTTTTTCTTTTTTGAGAGATGCTCGGACCCGACATAAGTAGAGGAGTCAAGAGAGTTGTTGTTGTTGTTTCATAAGTACCGGGAACAGTTTTCTTGGTGTGGTCGATCCGCCGGGTGCGTCGTCTGGGAGTATTGCAATGCACATGCACATGTCATGCACATGTGCATGTCTACGCCCTTAGTACATGTGCACATGCAAACAACGCTTCTGTGTTCTGTCAGGACGCGCTGCGCAAACGCGGTCACACATCATCAATCAAACGGTCCTGAGTCACGCCGCGATCGCCTCGACCGGGTGACCTGCCGGGATTAGTTCCGACCATCTGACGGGACCACTCGCCCGGCGTCACTCACGCCGCGACGGGCGCCTCCCTCACCCGCGTGTGGACTGGGCGGAGCCTGAGCCTGCAGAGCTCCGCTGACAGGGCCGGCACGCCGCCCGGCACTCTCCCAGCGGTCACCTCGCGGAGGGCGAGGACGAGCGGCCTCCCCTTCCGGTAGGCGGCGGCGAACTGGAGCGGCAACATCCCCTCGACGTCCCGTTCATTGAGCAGGCTAGGCCTCGCCTCAGCCAGCGACACTGCGAGAGCGGGCGAGGGGCTGCCGACTTTGAGGAGGGAGAGCAGCGTCACGCCGCTGGAGACGAGCCAGTCAAGAGAGCAGAGCGTGTCGCGAGCGGCCCGTCTCCACGCCATGGAGACCGCCTTGGCTCGCCGCAGCGCGTCCACGGCCGTCAGCTTGGAAAGGACGCACAGCAGCGCATCTTCCGACAGCTCGACACCGAGGCTGGGGTCCGCGGGGAAGCAGGACCATCGAGCTGGCGTGTCGGACGCCGGCGATGGAGCAGGTGGGAACACAGAATGTCGCGGTGGCGGCGGCGGGCTGACCACCAGCGGCGGAGGCGAGAGCATGGTGTGTGTGTGTGTGCCGTTCGGACGCGTCCCTGTCGTGCCGAAGAAGAAGAATTTTAGAACCATCTCAACCCCATAGATCGAGAGAAACAGATAGACAGGAAGGCGAAGAACACTCGAGAGAAAAAGATGGACAGGAAGAACACTCAGCCCCTGGCCGCGTCCACCCAGCGCGGTAAGGCGTAAGGGTGGACGCGGGACAGAAGACGACACGCTCTCACCTGGCAACCCTGTCTGCACGTCTTGCGCGCGCGTGAACAGGGCTCCAGGCCCCAAATGACGTGTGAGTGTTAGAGTTGTTTGGTATTGCTAAAAATCTCTCTCAGAAGACGACGGCACGCTCGATCGAGCGACACACCGCCGACACGCTATAGTGGGGTTCGCGGGGACCGACGCAGGAGAAGAAAGTGGGGCACAGGGAGCCAGATCCTTTGCGCATCTGCGCCGCCAGCCGCGCGCCGCACTGCGGCGCAGCCGCCGCCACAGCAAGCGAAGCAGCGACGAGCAGCGCGCGCGCTGAGCCCTGGTCTGACAGCCTGACAGCAAACCCCGGACAGCGCCTGACAGTGCCCGACAGCCTGACAGCGTTGACAGCACTTCTCTGACAGCCTGACAGCACGTATCTGACAGCCTGACAGCAGAGTCTGACATCAGAGGGGCTCTGTCGCTGTCAGGCCCTAACGTGACAGCCTGACAGCTGCCCGACAGCCCGACAGCACACAGTGGCCTGACAGCAGCGCTGACAGCCCGACAGCCCGACCAGCCCGACAGCAGCACAGACCACACACAGGCCGTGCAGCCTCTTTCTTGTGCCCCATGAGGGTATAACAAAACTATTACATGCAAAGACATGTAGTCATGGGATGGTCATGGGTCTCTCCTAGGGTCTCTCTCTCAACCCTCCCGCCCCACCTCTGCGGACCCGCGGCTGTGCTACTACAAATGAAGCTACCAGCTAGCCTTCTGGGGCCCTACAGCCATATGCCTACAGCGTCTGGGTGGGGGTGGCCGCCGCCGTTTGTGCCGCCGCTGCCTGCGCCTGCGCCGCCATCTGCGCTCCCCAGCACCCGACAGGTGGCCGTCGCCGACGGCACGGTAGACGCACGCCGCGCCACTGGCAGCTCGAGCGCAGAGTACCTGCGCCAGCTCTCGACGAGTCAGCGCAGCAACGGGGTCTTCATCAACGACCCCAAGGGCCTCTTTATCCTCCGGTGGTACCGTGAGGTGAAGGGTGACGGGACCCCCCCAGACGGCCCGCGCTACCAGAAACAGAGCGTGCAAGTACTACAAGCTGACGAACGACAACGATGGGGAGGCCTTCCGCTGGACCAGCAACTACCAGATCATCAGCAAGGTGTACCTGAAGAAGCACTCCAGCCTGCCTCTCTGCTATTCTCTCAGTGCGGCAGACAAGAAGATGGTGACGTCCACCATGAAGAAGATGGTGGGACCGGAGGCAGAGTAGAGACTAGAGTATGTGTGCTGTGTGCAGTAGAGTCCTGCTGGTCTCCTCTGATAGTGTCATAAGTGTGGCTGGTGTGTGTCAGAGCCTGACAGCACCCCGACAGCACCACCTGACAGCACCTGACAGCAACAGCCCAACGTCTGACAGCAGCAGCAGCCTGACAGCTCTGACAGCTCCGACAGCGTCTGACAGCAACACCCGACAGCTCTGACAGCACCCGACAGCTACAGAGCCCCTCTGATGTCAGACACGCACCCGACAGCACCCGACAGCACTGACAGCACCCGACAGCTGGTCTGACAGAGGCACCTGACAGTGCCTGACAACTGCCCGACAGCCCGACAGATCACCTGACAGCACCTGACAACCTGACAGCCAGGGCTCAGCGCGCGCGCGCGGCGGCGGCCAGCCGTCGCAAGCCAGCCCGCGGCCGGCCTCGACCGGCCGCGCAGCCGCCCGCCCGAGGGCGAGCATGGAGCGGCCAAACTTAGAGACTGATGGCTAAGCCACCCCTCCCCTCCCCTCCTCCCCGCCCGCCTGCCCGCCCGCCCCGCCCCCCTCGCCCGCGCACTGGCCACCGCCCTTCGCGCATTGACTTATAGGCGCTCGAGACCTCCTCTCGCTGCCTACTCGCTGCCTCTGGGGAGGAGGGGAAGACGTCAGGTTGAGCTGGACTCGCCAGGCTGAGGCCCCTCCCCGAAAGGCAAGTATTAGCCTCACGAAATCCCCGTCCGTAGTCCGCCCCGCTCCAACCCACCCGCGCTAGGTCTCGGGCGGCGAAGGGGTCACACCCGACGACCTCGGGAACTAGCCGGGGCAGTCGGAGAAGGGGCAACTCCGTGCACTGACGGTCGGCCCCCAGAAAACACCTCGAGAACCTCGAGAGACGGTATCGAGGTCTCTGGTGGCTCTCTCTCGGCTGTTCCGCAAGGCGACCACCGAGGATCAGGACAGCACATGCTTGCCACAGCAAAAAGGCTTCCGCGGGCCGCGCCCGCGCTGCTCCGCGGCGCCGCGCGCCGGCTAGCAGCGCCGGCGCGGGCCGACTCGAACGTCCCGTTCGCGACCAGCCTCAACGCGAGCCTCGCCGAGACGGATCCGCAGCTCTTTGACATTGTCGAGCAGGAGAAGCGGCGGCAGCGCTGCTCGCTTGTGCTTATCCCGTCGGAGAACTTCGCGTCGCAGTCGGTGCTCGACGCGCTGGGGTCGGTAATGCAGAACAAGTACTCGGAGGGCTACCCGCACGCGCGCTACTACGGCGGCAACGAGTACATTGACATGGCGGAGGACCTCTGCCGCTCGCGTGCGCTGGAGGCGTTTGGGGTGACGCCCGACGCGTGGGGCGTCAACGTGCAGCCGCACTCGGGCTCGCCGGCCAACTTCGCCGTCTTCTCCGCCCTGCTGCAGCCGCACGACAGGCTGATGGGCCTCGACCTCCCGCACGGCATCGGCCGCCGCCCTGCGCCGAGGCGAGGAGGCGGCGCCCTTGCCTTGAGGCTGGTCGGGAGGTTGGCGTAGGCGGCCACCTGTCGCACGGCTTCCAGACCGAGACTGGCCGCTCCATCTCGATGGTCTCGCGCTACTTCACCTCGATGCCGTACCGCCTCAACGAGGACCCTCCGAGACCGCCGCACGCAGAGAGTCGGGCAGCCGGGCGCTGAAGCGTGTTGCGTGTCTCGCACAGGCGACTGGGATCATCGACTACGACAAGCTGGAGGAGTCGGCCACCATCTTCCGGCCCAAGCTCATCATCGCCGGAACGCCCGCCCCCGGCCGCAACGCCGCAACAGCAGCGCCGGCCGTCGGCGTCTCAGCCCTCTTCCGCTGCCGCGCCTGCAGGCACGTCTGCGTACTCGCGCCACATCGACTACGCGCGGATGCGCCAGATCTGCGACAAGGCGCCGCCCCTCGCCTCCTGCCCGGCCGAGGGGGGGCGCCGCTCCCCTCTTCGCTCCCCCCCCCGCGCCTCACCGCGTGCGTGATCTCGCCAGGTCGGGGCGGTCCTGCTCGCAGACATGGCGCACATCTCCGGCCTCGTCGCAGCAAAGGAGCGAGAGCACTCTAGCCCGTATAGCACAGAGGACGCGCACCCTCTGGCCTCGTCGCCGCAATGGCTCCCCGAGACTAACCCCCCCCCCCTTCCCACACACACACACACACACTCACATGAAACCTCAACGCCCCTGCCCCCGACCCTACTCCTCTCGAAACCCCCCCCCCCCCCCCGAAGGTTGTGCCTTCCCCCTTGGACTACGCGGACGTCGTCACCACCACCAGGCACAAGTCCCTACGGGGACCGCGAGGTGTGCGCCCCGCCGCCGTGTTTTGCACCACGGCCATGGGGCGGCCCACCCCCGCCGCAATAGGGGGCCGCTGCTGCTGCTGCCGCCGCCATTGCTGCCGCCACTGATGCCCCCGCCGCCGATGTTGCCGCCGCCTTCGCCGCCGCCGCCGCCTGGCTCCTTTCGCGCTGCTCGACGGGGCCCGGGCGGGACAGCCCCCCCCCCCCCCCCTTCGCGCGGCTCTCAGGCGCGATGATCTTTTACCGGAAGGGCGTCAAGGGGGTCGACAAGAAGGGGAAGGAGATCGCGTACGAGCTCGAGGGCCCCATCAACCAGGCCGTCTTCCCGGGCCACCAGGGCGGGCCGCACAACCACACCATCGCCGCCCTCGCCACCGCGCTCAAGCAGGCGGCCGCGCCAGAGTTCGTCGAGTACCAGCAGCAGGCGCCATGAGCCGAGGGGTAGCCGAGAGACGGCCGAGAGACAGCCGAGGGACAGCCGAGAGACAGCCGAGGGATAGCCTGGACAGCCAAGAGGCAGCCGAGAGACAGCCGAGAGCAGCCGAGGGCCGAGAAGAGCCGAGAGCAGCCGAGAAGAGCCGGGAAGAGCCGAGAAGAGCCGAGCAGCAGCCCCTCGTTGCTTGGGACTAGCGCGCGTGCGCCGCGTGACAAGGTCGCGAGTCTGGCTCACAGCCTGGTTCAGAACACAGACAGCCAGGAGCGGACAGACAGCGATCACAGCCTGCTTCACGCGCGCCTGGTGAGCAGGTGCTCCGCAACTCGGCTCGGTTCGCCGACGCGATGAGCGAACGCGGCTACTCTCTCGTCTCGGGCGGCACGGACAACCACTTGCTGCTCGTCGACCTCAAGCCGTCCGGCACCGCCTCCTAGACACCTCCTAGACACTTCCTACACACTTCCTACACACTTCCTACACACTTCCTGCTCGTCGACCTCAAGCCGGCCGGCACCGACGGCCCCCCGCTCCTGCACCGCCGCGGCGAGGAGGTGGCGCGACACGTCCCGGACATGTCCCGGACATGTCGCGGACATGTCGCGTAGGCATCGACGGCGCGCGCGTCGAGTCCGTGCTCGAGCTCGCCAACGTTGCACTCAACAAGAACACCGTGCCGGGCGACAAGTCCGCCTTCATCCCGGGCGGCATCCGCGTCGGCACGCCCGCGCTCACCTCGCGCGGCTTCGCGGAGGAGGACTTCGCCGCCGTCGCCGAGTTCATCCACCGCGGCGTGGGCATCGCAAAGGAGATCAACGGCGCCGACGGCGTCGGCCGGAAGCTCGCAGACTTCAAGGCGCGCCCTCCGCATCCCGCACCCGCGTCCCGCCCCGCGTCCTCTGTTCCCCTACACACACACACACACGCACGCACACACACACACACACCACCTGGCTCGCGCGCCCCTGGCCGGCTGATCTCCGCCGCCCCTGCTCGCCCTCTCCAGGCGGCGCTCAAGCAGCGCGAGTGGCCCGCGCTGCGCGAGCTGCGCGCCGACGTCGAGGCCTTCGCTTCCCAGTTCCCGGTCGTCGGCTTCGACGAGACGACCATGAAGTACAAGTAGACGCTCGTCGCCCCTCTCTCTCTCTCTCCCTCCCTCCCTCCCCCCCCCCCCCCCCTCTCTCTCTCCCGACCCTCGCAACGACCCGCCTGTCTCCGCTCGTGCTTGGCTCGCCGCGCAGCATCAGCACCTGAAGCGGCTTAGACAGTAGCGGTTCCCGTACAGTCGCCCGCGCCAGAGAACCTCCTGCTGTCCGGGCCGGGGCGCGGGGTATAGCCGCCGCGCGCCACACACACCAACACATACTCGTGTCTTGAGCATGACAGCGAGTCCGACTCACTCAGGTATTTTTATTGAGATTTCACGCCAACTCTACGTATATATGACTTTGTGGAGCTGGACGCGGCTGCGGCGTGGAGCTCGAGCCTCGAGTCCACCCGCCTCGCGAGACGCGACGCGAGCGCGCGCGCGGAGGGGCGAGGGGCAGGCCAGGGGGAGGCGGGCCCGGGCGGTTACGCTTCCCCCAGGATTAGTCCGCTTCTCTGCCCATCTCGTTCCCGTCCTACCAGAGAAGCCACGTCCCCGCACGAGCACACGACCGCAACGAGCCCACGACTCGCGGGCGGTCTCGCGCTCGGACACCCCCATCACGATCGCCTACTCCCTACTCTCTAACCCCTCCACCTGCACCCCAAACGCGCGAAAACCGGGAAAACGCGCCGCGAAAACGCATTCAAAATCAGAAAAGGTGGAAAAACCTCTGGCTAGGAAGGAAAAACTCACGGAAGTTAGCCAGGGCCAAAACGACGCCCTCGACGGTCTACCACAAGAGCGCAAAACAACAGGCTATACTGGGCCGAAGTGGTGATCAAACTTGAACAAGGGGACGGCCGACACCAACAGCTTCACCGGTCGTATGTCTGTCCTATCCCTGGTGCCGCCGCTGCCACAGCCGCTCCCACCGCTTCCACAGCCACTGCCTCCACTACCACAGCCGCTGCCGCCGCAGCCACAGCCGCTTCCACCTCTTGGAGAGCCGCTTCCGCCGGCATCTGTCGCGCCTGCACCGCCACCACTGCCCCCCCGCCCCCCAGCATCCCTTCCCTTGAGCAATGATCCACCGCCGCCGCCGTCATCCCCACAGCCACCCTTCGGAGAGCCACTGCCACCGCAGCCGCTGCCGCTGCCGCCGTTCCGGGAGCCGCTTCCGCCTGCATCTGCAGCGCCTGCATTGCCACTGCCCGCACCGCCATTCATGCCCCTTGGTGATGTGGATGTGCGCGCAACGCTGGGGTGCGAGGACCTGGACACCCAATGCCTCGGTTGGGCACGAGAAGACTACTGCACGCAGGGATACGTCGAGCATATGGCTCGATACTGTCGCAAGTCGTGCGGCCTGTGCGACCCACCGTCGCCACCATTGCCGCCATCGCCGCCTTCGCAGCCCTTTCCACCACCCTCGCCACCCTCGCCACCCGGGCCGCCCTCGCCTCCCGGGCCGCCGCCACACCCCCCATCGCCACCACTCCCTCCACCGCCGCCTCGGCCACCGCCCTCTCCCTCTCCACCGCCAGTGTCGCCATCTCCACCTCCTCCACCGCCTTCACCGCCTGCCCCACCGCCACTGCCTCCGACGCTGTGCTCGTGCGACGCCGTCCTGATCAGGGGCCTTGACGCCGCGTTCGGGTATAGCCCTGGTCAGGTCTATGATGGCACGTTCATTCGCACCGCCGCCACCACCGCCCCAGACCACTACGTCTACCGAGCCCCCAACGGCATGCAGCTCTACCAGGCGCAGGAGGGAGCTTCGGTGCTCTGGGTAATTGGTGCAAACGTCGGACAGACAAATGGCCTCGCCGTGAACTCCGAGGTCGGAGCCGACCAGCGCTGTCCAGACACGCTACCGAGCGCATGGGCCGTCCTTGGCAAAGTGGATCCGTCAGTGACCGCGACATGCCCGTCACCGCCGCCATCTCTGCCACCGCCGAGCCCTTTTCCCGCGCCACCACCGCCGCATCCTCCCCCGCCATCGCCATCCCCGCCACCGCCGCCGAAGCCTCCTCCACCGTCGCCTTCTCCACCCCCGCCGCCAAAGCCTCCTCCACCCTCGCCCCTCCTCCGGCCCCCACCGGACCCTCACTGCACCTCCCTGGAACTGTAACTGTCCATTGGTGATGCATTTCCCCTCCCCAACAGGCTGTTCACTTTGAAAATCCCCTGGAAACCCTC